TAGAGATGACTTAAAAATAAAATCTTAAAAAAAAAAAGAGTGATTCAGATTTGTTTGTATCTAGACTCCAAGAGATTAGATTTAAGGAATGTATAGCCTTAGAAAAGTATGTGTGGGTTAGTGCTGCCACGTTTACTGAAAGAAGCTTGTTAAAAGCATAGCTTTTCCAAAGGGCAGATAAAGCCAGATTGCTAAGATGGTCAGAGATCTTCCTAAAATGAATACCTTCATCTGTTCTTTTGGAAAGTCCAGTAGCTTTAGAAAAAAAGAAAAGCTGATTAATTCTCCATTCCCTTCTTTTGACAGAGTACTTCTTCGTGTTCAGCAAGGTTCACAATTTGCTAGTTGAAGGGCAGATGAGTGTGCTCAGAGAGAATTTGCCTCCCTCTGACCTGTATGTAATTTCCTAACTTGCTACCTGCCATCTAGCAGGAATTTGGGTGTAGAGATTCCATACTCTCCCTGTCACCCTCCAGGATAGAGCTGTCTGCAGAATGGGGCTGTCCCTCCTCATTTCTGGGACCTTTACCCCAAGAGGGACATTGAAACAAGGAACTGTAAAACTGAAATACAGTCCTTTCCTTACCTTTTCCCATTCTGTCATCTAGTTGCTGCCACTCATCTCTGCTCTAATTCTCTATTCTGTATTAAAAGTTTTCTTTGTGCAGTCTTCAATATTTGTATTTCAGCAGACATCCTGTGTTCTGAGGCACTTCCTTTGTAGGAAGGAGATTCTGGAGAAATCCTACCTAATAAGTCATACTTTTCTGCGGGGGTGGGGGGTGTCTTATGTCCTTTTGAATAAGAATAGGGCAGGATCTGAGTAGAGAGTTTCAGGCCTCTAGAATGGTTGCTGTGATTTTTCTCAGTGCTTCACAGAATTGATATTACTAGCTCTGTGGGCCTGTGTAGTATTGAACTTGGGAATAATCCCTTCTAGGTTGTTATCAGCGAATCTCAAACATCCCTGATATTTGATATCAAGTTTGTAGACTACAGGAAGGCATTGTTTGCACACATGACAAGTTGCATGGAATAATCCCTGTCTGGCATAGGAAATTGGTTCTATTTCATGAGCTTAACAGAAGGAAGTTTTTAATTTTGTTAAAGTATACACTTCAGCAACCTTGCCAGCTTTTAAAAATTTCCTATCTAAGGTCTAATAAACTCCAAAAAAAATTATTGAGATGCTTCCTGCCCCATTCTTTCTTCTTCCGTCTTACCCCTGCTACCTTAAAAAAATTTTTTTTAATCTTGGAAGTATGGTAAGACAGAATGTAACCTAGTGTATTCATTACTAACTTTTTGGTACTATTCGGTCTCTATTCTTGTTAATTATAGTTGAAGACTATCATTATATAATGAGGCCTAGAAGACTGACATGGGAGCCAAAATGTTCTGTGTAGGTGGCACCTTGCAAATGACTTTGGGAGGCATAAAGTGAAATGGAGAAAGTTCCTTATAAATGTAATCAGTTAATTTTTTGAAGTAACTATATAACATTATATAAAGATTAGGATTCAGTGATTTATTTGCTACAACAGGAGAAAAATGTTTGCCGGCCTTTTGCTTGAGAACAGGAGCTTTATCTCCAATAAGAATTGGAAATAATGTCCAAGCCATAGATGGGGGTGGTACCTCAGGTGTTTCTAGAGTGTATTTTCCCGCCCTTTTGTTAGTGTCCTTCTCCCCACTGTCTGTCAACTAATCCTGGCCAGGTGACTGCTGGGAGACATTCATTTCCTCTGCCCTAAAAGCACAGGTGGTAGTTTTGACTTTTTACACCAGGCTCCTCTAAGTTTCCCCTTAAGTAACTTTTGTTGGCTTTGTCTTTGATTTATGCTATCCTGGATAGCTACTTTCTTATTTCCACATTCACCTACTGGATAGTAAACCAAGCATTTCCACACAGGTAATGCAATCACAGCAGAAGATTTTAAAGTGTTCCCCCAAGGAATTCCCACTGCTTGAGATTCCTGCTCCTGCCTTTGGGGATTTTCACACTCCATGTGGACCTTTACCTTTCAAGTAATGCAGAGAGATTGACCTTGCTGAGTAGCTCTTCTGTCCTTGGAAGCTCCTGATTGCCTGTTAGATAGACAGGTGTGCATGAGTGGTCTTTGAGAGTGAAGAGTTTACAAGCCAGTCTCCTCTACTGGTTTGCTTAGTATGACTATATCCTGTGCTGATTATGCTCAATCATAACTCTTTGTACACAGCATTGCCTGGAATACCTTTCAGGTACACTAGCAGCATACTGTAGTTGTGACATTCCTCAGTTTCATCTCGTTCCTAGGTACTCAGTTGCTTTCTAAAACTGGCAAATGATCCTCTCTACCATATTAACTTCTATATACCAGTCCTCCCTCTTAAATTCTAGGAGAGAATAGCCTAAGTGTTTAGTATTATGACGAAGAGTAATTCCCAGTGTGATAAACCACCAACCCCAGGTTCACATCTGTCTCTTGGTTTTGTTGCTTTCAGTGGCTATAGAAGGCATTGGAGGGCAGTAGTATGGTGTGGTATGTTCTTCATTCACCACTGTGGAAGCATTTATGAAGCAGTCTGGAATTAACACTGTTTTTCTCTTTTTAAAAGATAAATAACACACTGCTTTGATAATGGAAATGGAGTGTGACTCTTAGGCCTTTGGAAAATGTCTTGCTATTTTTGAAATCTACACAAAAATGTTAATTCCTCCAACTAATTATGTATTTAACTAGAATGAATATAAATAGGTACACAGTCCTGTGAATCAGACAGTGGTGTCAAACCAGACTTCTGATATGTATTTCAGTAAAAATGGAAATAATAGTTGATCAGCTGTCCAGATTTTGTTAAGCTTAAAAGCATATGAGTGTTTTATGTACATTTCTTTCCATTTTCAGCTTTATCTGCCTTAAAAACAAGTGCAAAACAGAGAGCATTCATGCAAGAAGTAATCACACTGAACATGTATCCTAGAACTCAAAACAACCCCAAATGGCTTAAAATGTCTGGATATTGTTTAAACACTTAAATTTTTTGAAAACTGACAGTTCTTCATAGTTGTTTAGGAGCTTAAATGTCCTACTTAAATATAACAAAAAGTAAAGTCCTAGAGGAATGGGAGAAGCTATCACTAACAGATAATAGTTATGGGTATTACTTATAATATTAGAACGGATTTATTCTCATGGCACCTGACTAGCTCAGTCTGTAGAACATGCGACTCTTGATCTTGGGGTTTTGAGTTTGAGCCCCATGTTGGGTGTAGAGATTACTTAGAAAAATAAACAATAAACCAGATTTATTATCAAATCTCTAGTAGTAAAAAGATAGGAGATTAAGTGCTCTGAGGTTATGGATACTGTCAAAAAGTCTATAAAAGTTATGATTACATTATAAACCACAGCCTTATTTTGGAAAATGAAACATCTGAAATTCTGTTGGCAGAAATAGTCAGAGGGGCGGGTTTTTTGGGTAGCTTTGATTCTCAAATGTGACTAACGGTATAGAACCAAACCCCTTTTTTGTTAGAGAATATAGCAAGTAAGTTAATACAGCTGCCTCCTTACAGAATATTCTCATTCCCTGAAGAATATCAGAAAACATGGCCAGGATCCTTTACACTGGTGTTACCCATGTGGCTTCATATTCCATTAATAAAGGTGAAGTTGTAGCTGATATATGAGGCTCAGGTTTTGTTTTGTTTTGTGTTAATGGAAAAAGCCTTTTTGGTGACTTACAGATGAGCTTTAAACAGCCCTTGTCCATGAGATACAGAAGAGGGAGAGTGGATATGAGCCTCAGACCACTACTGCTTTCCTTTTCCTTTTCTTTTTTATAAAATACGACATTGATAGCTGTGAACATCTCTAAGATTTATTGCATCCTTGCTGGTTTTCATGCAGAGCAGCAATATCACATCCCAACCCCTGCTGTTGTTTATATCAACAGCAATTAAAATTTGATTTACTAATCCCTCATTGCTGCCTCTCCAACTCCTCATTTTTCATTTTGTAGAGCCTTAGGACTGTTACAGCTGAGCATCATGATGTTAACACCTCCTCAGCCATCTGGTACAGGGGAAGAGGCACCTAAACAGATTCTTCAGAACAAAAATCACAAATGAGCAAGATCAGAATAGTATGAGATCTAAAAAACAGGTAAAGAAGGAATGAAGAGAGCCCGAATGACAGCAGAACTGAAAGCAGAACCCAAAAAGGTTTTGGATTGGAAGCCCTCCTTTTGCTGGGGAAAGATCTGCCTTTTGCTTTCTAGAAGAAAGCAATTCATAGTAGTCATATCTAAAACTATTTCTAATTCCAGACTAGAGGCCATTAGCTAGAGGAATCAGGAAAACATTGTAGCCTTACCACCTGCCCCAACTTTTCATATTTCTTGACCCGTGAACCTGTTTTGAAGATATACTTTTTTCATTCTCTTAGATAAGAAAGTATATTCTAGCCAACACCACTGCTCATTTTATCTTAGTTGAAAGTCTTGTAGAGGTTTATGTTGAGAGTGGTGGGCTCCCTATTTAAGGAAAAGCCATATTATCTTGATTCCTAATGCTAGGAATTTTCTGTATTGACTACTGTCTATTTAGGTAGATCTTTAATCAGTGAAATGATTTGTAAGTATGATTGTTCCTTTGTCCAACAATATTAACATTCTGAATTCGGTCTGCTTAGTGGCTACTGAATTTTACTAACATGGAAGCTAAAATTGATTCCAGCTTTTGGTGGTCTTCCCCGCCCCCCCCCCTTTTGGTGATTATTGTTTTTCTGTGTCTGGGTGAGGATGGTGTGCTATAGACTGTCATGTATTGGCTCATTAGGCTGAAATGAATGTAGCCACGCTAACTTTTTCTCAGTGCTTTGCAGCGGTTGTTAGTTTAAAATCCAAAATGAAAACAAAACGCTCAGGGACACTAATGTACTTGATTTTGTTATTGCTTGCTGTTGCTTTACCTTTCCTTCCATATCTTGCTCTCATGCTTCCTAATGCCTGAGCAGACTGCATCGTCAGAGCGCCGAGGAGAGTGGGAAATCCAGCCCAGCCGGCAGACCAATACCTCGTACCTGACGTCTCACTTGGCTGCAGACCGCCATGGGGGATCAGTGCAGGTACTTACTGCCTTTATTGCCCTTTCCTGGCCTTCTCAGCTTGGCTGGTGGAATGTTGACTTGCTTCTGAAACTTTGGTTCTTTAGAAAGGAAACTTCCTCCAAGGTTGAGCTGCTTCTGTAGTTAACTGAATATCTGTGCGCTGATTTTCTGCCTAAGTGGACTTGTAAGAATCACTTGTTGATATGATTTTTGGTTGTAGTCATTGACTAAGAAACATCTATATGATTTCTGATACTGATTTCTGGTTAAACTAATCCTATTACCTTGATCTACTCATGATAAATCATAAAAATAATGTCAAGATAGAAGTATGTTAGTGTCAAGTATGTGAATTTTTAAGTAGTTTTCAGATAAAGGACTGCATATGTAGCTCATTCCATGGTGGTATGTGCCTTAGCACATAAGGTGAGAGTGTTAATTGGTCCAAGTCAGCCGTTTCTGAATGAGTACCCAAGAAGTTGGGCTGTTTCTTTTTTCTTTCTGGAATACATGTCTTAGAAAATTATTTCTGATGTCATTTGGACTGTTTTGAAGCTCTGTTGTCTCTAGTACTTAACATCTGTGTCTCTTTACTTTTCTTACATGTCACTGTTTTAATAATCTTTTTTTTTAAGATTTTTAATTTATTTATTTGACAGAGACACAGTGAGAGAGGGAACACAAGCAGGGGGAGTGGGAGAGGGAGAAGCAGGCTTCCCGCTGAGCAGGGAGCCCAATGCGGGGCTTGATCCCAGGACCCCGGGATCATGACCTGAGCCGGAGGCAGTCATTTAATGACTGAGCCACCCAGGCGCCCCTGTTTTAATAATCTTAATCCAAATATGTCTCTCAGACTGTTAAGTGACACCACCATTTGGGGCACACAAGTAAACCCTGAGCCACCAAATCATATAAAGGGATAGACAAACCTTTTGCGTGTAGAAATGCATCCTGTTAGGCTTGATTGTCTAGAATATGTTTTTTACATGGAGTGATTCATTGAAGATTGTGTTATTCACAGGAAGTCAGGAGATAGCTGTGGTTCTGTTAAAAAAAAAAAAAACTCAAAAACATCTAGGTAAAAATGATGGATTGAACACACAGATCTGCTTTCACCTCCTCCTGAGACAGCACTAAAAGAATGATAAAGGGTGGGCGCCTGGGTGGCTCAGATGGTTAAGCATCTGCCTTCGGCTCAGGTCATGATCCCAGGGTCCTGGGATCGAGTCCCGCATCGAGCTCCCTGCTCCTTGGGAGCCTGCTTCTCCCTCTGCCTCTCTCTCTCTCTCTCTCTCTCTCTCTGTCTCTCATGAATAAATAAATAAAATCTTAAAAAAATTAGTAACAATTTTAAAAAAGTATCTTTAAAAAAAAAAAAAGAATGATAAAGGGATTTTTTTTGAAAGGCATGAATCCATACAAGGATGGAGAAAACAGAAGAGGCAATAGCAACAAAATGTTAGATGCTGGGCAATTATTCAATGACTTAGGAGTCCCAAGAAAACTGAATCTTGAGCCAATAAAGCCTATTTTCACTGGGTAATCCCCTAAAGACTCAGAAGTTGGCCTTCTATAAGGGGAAGTGTGGAGGCCGTGTGCTAAAATAAAGAAGAGTGGTTAAAAGTCTATTTTCTAAGAAGCCAGAGATCCCTAGATGCTCTCCCCCCCCCCAGCAAAAACCAAAGATTTATTCTTTGGTAAGGGCAAAACAAAGGGTCTATAAATTGGGGGATGTGAGTCACATTTGGGGGTCGGAAGCTATATTGAAGAAAAGGGACAGTAAATGAATGTGTGATCCATACTTAAAAAGTCCCACCCCTCTACTCCTTGCAGTCTCCCACTTTTTTTTTTCTTTTTCAGTTTTACTTTTTTATAGAGAGAGAATGGGGATGGGTGCGGGAGGGGAGGAGGGAGAGAGAGAACCTCAAGCAGACGCCCTGCTGAGGACGGAGCCCAATACTGGGCTCAATCTATATCATGACCTAAGCCGAAACCAAGAGTCAGATGCTGAACTGACTGAGCCACCCAGGTGCCCCAAGAGAGAGACTCTTAAGCAGTGTAGAGCCTGACATGGGGCTTGATCTTATGACTCTGGGATCATAACTTGAGCCAAGTGCCCCAGGATGCTATTTTAAAAAGGAACATTTTAAGAGCAAACCAAGAAAAAGAAAAAGAGAGAGAGCTCTTGGAAATTAAAAACATAAGAAAAATTAAAACTCAAGAGTTTGGAAAGTCTCCCAGAAAGTAGAACAAAGAGAGAGGTTAAAATGATAGAAAACATTTTTCTTTTTCTTTTTCTTTTTCTTTCTTTCTTTCTTTCTTTTCTTTCTTTCTTTCTTTCTCTTTCTTTCTTTCTTTCTTTCTTTCTTTCTTTCTTTCTTTCTTTCTTTCTTTCTTTCTTTCTTTCTCTCTCTTTCTTCCTTTCCTTTCTTTCTCTCTCTCTCTCTTCTCTCTTTCTTTTTTAAGATTTTATTTATTTATTTGACAGAGAGAGACACAGCGAGAGAGGGAACACAAGCAGGAAGAATGGGAGAGGGAGAAGCAGGCTTCCCGCCGAGCAGGGAGCCCGATGCAGGGCTCGACCCCAGGACCCTGGGATCATGGCCTGAGCCAAAGGCAGACGCTTAACGACTGAGCCACCCAGGCGCCCCAGAAAATGTTTTTCAAAAAATAAAAAATAGAACTACCATGTGACCCAGTAATTCCACTTCTGGATATTTATCCAAAGAAAATGAAGACACTAATTCAAAAAGATATATGCACCCCTCTGTTTATTGAAGCATTACTTACAGTAGCCAAGATAGGGAAGCAACCTAAGTGTCCATTGATAGATGAAAGGGTAAGAAGATGTGTATGTGTGCACACGCACATGCAATATTACCTGGCCATAAAAATGAAGTGTTGCCATTTTTGACAACATGGGTAGACTAGAGACTTTTGTGCTAAGTGCAGTAAGTCACATTGAGAAAGAAAAATACCATATGATTCCACTTATCTATGGAATCAAAAAAACAAACAAACGAGAAACTGACTTATAAAAAGGAGAACAAATTGGTAGTTGCCAGAGGGGAGGAGGCAAAAGAGGTGAAGAGGATTAAGGACAAACTTCCCCTCGGAAAATAAATAAGTTGGGGCACCTGGGTGGCTCAGTTGGTTAAGTGTCTGACTCTTGATTTGGGCTCAGGTCATGATCTCAGGGTCATGGAATCAAGCCCCGCATCGAGCTCTGTGCTGGACATGGAGTCTGCTTAAGATGCTCTCTCTCCCTCGCCCTCCACTCCCCAGCCCCCGCTCACTTTCTCTCTGTCTCTCTCAAAAAAAAGAAAGAGGGCACCTGGGTGGCTCAGTTGGTTGAGCAACTGCCTTCAGCTTGGGTCATGGTCCTGGAGTCCCAGGATCGAGTCCCACATTGGGCTCCCTGCTCGGCGGGGAGTCTGCTTCTCTGACCCTCCCCCGCTCATGTGCGCGCTCTCTCTCTCTCTCTCTCTCTCTCTCTCTCTCTGATTCTCGCTCTTTCAAATAAATAAATAAAATCTTTAAAAAAAGAAAGAAGTCACAGGGATGAAAAGTACAGCACAGGGAATATAGTCAATGATGTAATAACTTTGGGGGCACTTGGTTGGTTCAGTAGGTAGAGCATGCCGCTCTTGATATCAGGGCCACATTGGATATAGATTACTTTAAAAAAAATTTTTTAATGTAATAACTTTGGTGACAGATGGTAACTACACTTATTGTCGTGAGCATTTTATAATGTATATCATTGTTAAATCATGTTGTACACCTGAAACTAATATGTGTCAACTCTACTTCAATTAAACATTTTAAAAGGTAAGGTTTAAAAAATGAAATAGTATAAAACAAAAAGATAATTACCTCTAAGGAGAATAAGAAATTATACAGGGAAGGAAAGGACCATAGTATATACTCCATGGCACTGTAAATAGTTAATGTAAAACTAAGAATTATCTTGTCAGAATTACAGTATAAACTATAATGGAAGACAAGAAGGATGGAAAAGGTGAATATAATGCCTAAAAATGAAGAAATCAAGATGCATGTTATTTAGAGATAATGGAGGTAAAAAAAGGAATCAGTTATGAAGGAGAGGAAATGGAGTGGAGGAACGAGACTGCTATTTTTCCTAATGATCCTTGTAGAAATAATTTTTTAAAAGATTTTATTCATTTGAGAGAGAAGGATTGTGTGCACTGGTGGGCGGGGGGGGGGTGGTCCGGCAGAGGGAGAGGCAGACTCCCCGCTGAGCAGGGATCCTGACACGAGGCTTGATCCCAGAACCCCGAGATCATGACCTGAGCCAAAGGCAGAGGCTTAACCGACTGAGCCACTTAGGCTCCCACAATCCTTGTAGAAATAATTTATATACATATACATAAATGTCAGTTTTCATTTATCACATTCACAGAAATTTGTAAGTTTAATAGCCTATCCATCTACTATTGTTGAAATCTTAGGTTACAACTATTTTAGGGGATTATTTGGCACTATCTTTTAAAATCTTAAAATACTGAATTCAGTGAATCCAGTTTCAGATAAATATTCCTCAGAAATGCACAGATACCGAAGATACATGTTCTAGAACAATCCTGTCAAAGGAAATGAGTCATATTTGTGATTTTAAATTTAATCACAATAAAAAGGTAAAAATAAGCCTTAGCCCAACATGGCGATCCACAACTAGGCGGCGCCGCCCCAGATCCCGGACACCCGGCGGGAGCTGGCGGATCTCGTGAAGCGGAAGCAGGAGCTGGCGGAGACACTGGCAAACTTGGAGAGACAGATCTGTGCTTTTGAAGGAAGCTACCTGGAAGACACTCAGATGTATGGCAATATTATTTGTGGCTGGGATCGGTATCTGACCAACCAGAAAAACTCCAGTAGCAAAAACAATCGAAGGAACCGGAAGTTTAAGGAAGCTGAGTGGCTCTTCAGTAAATCCTCAGTTACTTCAGCAGCTGCAGTAAGTGCATTGGCAGGAGTTCAGGATCAGCTCATTG